CTTCTTCTTCAAGAGCTAAGGTGTGGAGGCCTTTTTGTCCACCTTGTTGGTGTAGGTGTTGGAGAGCTTGCTTGTTTTCTTTTTGTTTTTCTCTTTCTTCTTAGCTCCTCCCCTATTCTTCACCTTGCACTCATAGGACTTGTGGCCTTCCTTGTGGCATACGTAGCAAACCATGATTTGTCCTTCATCAAGCTTCTTCACTTCCTTGATGGTGTTATCTTGATGAAGTTGGGCTTGCTCCATCTTGCCTTTCACTTGAGTCAAGTCCTTGGTGAGGCGAGCCACTTCTTGCTTGAGTTTCTCATTCTCCATTGCGACTTCTTGTGTGCATGTTTCTACAACAACTTTCTCAACACAAACTTGGTTGCACAAGGGTGAGTCTAAACATAAATCATTGCAAGAAGTAAAAGCATCCTTTTTAGGCATGTCAAAGATAGAACTTTTCTTTTTAGGTGCCTTGGTGAGGGTTGTACCGACAATTTCAAGATTAGCAACTTTATTAGTTAGCTTATCACAATGTTTGCGCATGGTTTCCATTTTAGCAAGTAAACTTTTATACGCGTCTTGTGAGCTAGCTAACTTTTCTTTTAATTTTTCATTTTTCTTTACAAGTTGCTTATCATTGATTGTGCATGCATTTGTTGTTGCACTAGCCTCAAGTTGCTCAATTTTAGTAGATAGTTTAATATTGAGATTAGCAAATGTCTCATATTGTTCAAGCAAGGTTTTATATGCTTCTTGTGAATTATCTAGCTTTTCTTGCAATATTTTTAGCTTTTTTTGTTGGCTAGTGCAAACCTTAGCATATTTAAGATTTTCTTGCACAAGTTCATTAAGAGAAGGCATTTCATCATCACTATCACTCTCACTAGAGGATGAGCTTTTGTTACCTTGTGCCATAAGGCACACACGAGAAGAGCTTGATAATGAGTGTTTGTGGCCTCGCCTCTTGTGATGGTCTTCTTCTTCACTTGAAGAATCATCCCATGGCCTTATTGATGTGAGGGTTTTGTCCTTGCACGCCTTCTTCTTTGTCTTGGGTGTGGGCTTGTTTGGACAAACTTCCACAAAGTGCCCCAACTCACCGCATCCATAGCATCCTTTCTTTCTTTGCTCATTTCTTTGATTGGTGAAGATGAGATCTTGAATTTGGATGGGCACACCCTTAACATTGAGCCTTTGGATCATCTTCTCCACCTTGTTGATAAGTTTGATTGATTTTTCATCAAGGTTGGAGGTGGAGGTGGAAGATTGATCATCATCACTTGAATTTTCATCATCATCATCATCATCATCATCATCATCATCATCATCATCCTCATCTTCTTCTTCATCTTCACTTGAGGAGCTTGAGCTTGAGCTTGTTTCAACTTGCTTGCCCTTTATCTTCTTTTTCTCACTACATGCGAAAGCTTTGCCTTTGCTTGATGAAGAGGCTTCTTCTTGACCCATCTTCCATGACATTTCAAATGCCACTATCTTGCCAATGACTATGGCCGGGGTCATGGTGCTCAAGTACTCCATGTTGTGAAGGATGGTGATGATGCTTGCATATTTCTTTTGTGGTAGCATGGAGATGATCTTCCTCACGATGTCCGCATCATCTAGCTTCGTTAATCCTATTGAATGGAGCTCATTGATAATTAGATTCAAACGAGAATACATATCAAGAACAAGCTCATCATCATTCATTTTAAAGGAATCATAATTTTGTTTAGCTAGACAATGTTTTTGCTCACGGACATTAGTTGTGTCATCATGGAGCTCTTAGAGTTTTAACCAAATTTCATATGCCGTATTTAAAGTGAACACTTGGTTAAACACATCCATGCTAAAAGATTCAAACAAGTAATTTTTAGCTCTAGCATTGAAATGAATTTCTTTTTCTTCACTCTTTGTGGGTTTATTGGGATTCTTACTGGGTTTCATCCCGTCATGAGTGACTCTCCAAACACTCAAATCTACCACCTCAAGGTGATAAACCATTCTAGCTTTATAGTAGGGGAAGTTAGTGCCGTCAAAGTACGGAGGCCTAGAGGTATCCATCCCAACCACTCTAAATAGCGTCGGCTCAACGGCGGTGAAGCCAGAGGTCCAAATTGAGTCAACCTTTCTCTGATACCAATTGAAAGGGACCATGACGCCTAAGAAGGGGGGTGAATTAGGCAACTTAAAACTCTAACTCTAAACTATGGCCTCTTTTTCTAACCTTAGCAAAACCTATGCAAAAAGATGAACTATCTAAATATGCAACTATAGTTTTGCTAGTGTGTTGCTATCTCTACCGCAAAAGGAGTTATGCAAACAATATAAATGTGGAAGCTAAAGAGTAAGGTAGAGATATGCAAACTCCCGTCGATGACTTTGGTATTTATTACTGAGGTATCGAGAAGCGCGCAAGCTTCCTCCTAGTCCTCATTGGAGCCCCTCGCAAGGAATCCCTCGCAAGGGCCAAGCACCCCGTCGGGTAACTCCATGGATAGCCTTGGGCCTTCCCCACGCGCAAGTGGGTCTCCGACGTGCCTTCCGGCAAGCCTCTCCCGGATGCTCCCCGCCGTCTTCACTATCAAGCTTTCGGCCGAAACACCGTGGGCCTTGTTCCCTTCGGTACACGGTGGTGGCCACACCACAAATGGGGTTGGTGTGATCTTGCAAGACTATAAGCCCCTCTGATGTACAACAATGGTGCGTGCAAGCACCGAGTGGTAAAAGGTATGCAAACCTCACTAAACACTAGGCCTAAACCTAGAGCAAGCGCATAAGCGGAGGTCTAATCGACCTAAGCACTTCGTAAAGCACCTACGTTAATCACCTAATGAATCACTAAGTACTATGCAAGTGGAGATCACTAAAATGGTGTATCAATACCCTTAATATGTTTCCTCACTTCTCTACATCTCAAATGGCCGGTTGGGGGGTCTATTTATAAGCCCCACCGAGAAAGTAGCCGTTGGGGACAAAATCTAGCTTTCCTACTGACCGAACGCTGCTATCGTCCTGACCAGATGTGTTCGGTCGTCCCGACCATTACAGCGTGCGCGTTGATCGGACTCTGGGCCGAGTCCGGTCTCACTCGATCGGGCGCGTCCGGTCGCGCTGACACCGCTCTGGAACCTCTCTGGACTCGATCGGATGCTGTTCTTTGTGCGTCCGGTCATCCTGTGCCGCTGCGTTCGGTCACGCTAAAAACATTGCCGTGACAAAGAATAGTATCATCGGTTCGTCCGATCACTGCTTCGCTCAGCGTTTGGTCACAGCTGTTGACGCCTGTTGTTGCCGCGCAACTGATCGGACGTATCCAGTCCTTATAAGGGCCACGTCCGGTCACCTCTGCCGAGCTCGTTTCTTCGTGATGTTGCGTCCGGCTTGGTTCCCATCTTCGTGCTTGGACTATGCTTGATATCTTAGGTCTTCTCTTTTGCTTCTAGGGTTTTGCTTATGGTGTTGATCGTGGGGTCATCATGTCGCCTTCGTCCAAGTCACGTCTTGCACCCTATTGAACTACAAAATAATTACTTACAAATTCATTAGTCCAATTTGGTTGTGTTGGTCATCAAACATCAAAATCCAAAGTAAAAGGGCCTAGGGTCCATTTTTCTTACAACTCCAATGCGACGGAATAAGGATCTGATCACGGACGTATCACAAGCCATGCGGCGGTGTTAGTGCATACCAACACACACGGGTCGTGTTTCAATGCGACGGAAGTAAGGACCTTATCATGGAAGGATGATAAGCCAATACAGCGGTGTAGTGTACACCCTAGTCGGTCTTAGATACCGACGGTGATGGCTATGAGTATCACTGCCGACAGCTTACTGCCGAGGCCAAAATTGGACTGTGATGTGGGTTACGACGCGGTTGTGAAAGGTGTGAGTGTAGTAGTGTCCCACCGCCCACTTGGCGCCGCCACTGCCATCTTGCTCGCTGCCCCTCAACCTACCACCACAGTCGGCCCAGCCGCCTCCACCAGGCCCTTCCCTTTGTAAGCCCGCCAGCCGTGGAGGGCTCTCCTGAAAATCCAAAACCCCTACCGCCGCCGCAGCCTCCTCCACTGCCCCGACCCACGGCGACCTTGCCGTCGGCTGTCGCGCCCACCACACGCCCTCAACCCATTGTATTTCGCCGGCGACCTCGCATGTGTAACGCTTGGGGCAGCGACGCACGCGCGCCAAATAAGGATTTCTTCCTCCGGATATCGTAACCAATTCCTCAAGAGAATCCAAACAGACTCCAAGTCATTTTTATGTTTCAAAATGAATTAGGAACAATTACTCGCACTATAAACTTTTACCTGTATTCAAAAAAAATTTGTTCATGAATTATGTAGATTGTGTGGCTGTGGCATTGGGTCGTTGTGAAAAGAAAAAATATTACACAAATACGTATGAGAAATGATTATGACAAGGAAATTATAACAAATAAAAAAATTTATTGAATAAAAGATAAAGGTTGTGAAAAGAAAAAGTTACACAAATACAAAATCCAGTCATGACAAGAAAAATACTATAATGTAATTTCATTCTACGTATGTTTTGTTCTTAGCAACACACACGCACTCAATTAGTATGCTTATTGATTAGAATGTCAACAATGTGAAATAGTGATGTTGCTAGAATTCAGTTGAAAATATGGTTTCTATATGTAGTATCCACATGACTTGATAATTATTCTGTGTGTAGTGTCCACACGACTTGATTAGTACAGAAACTATCTTATAGTTTTAGGTTAGGACTGCATTAAGGGCATGTACAACCATAGACGGCGAGTTATTGTGTGTACGATGACATCACGCGACATATAGACTAATAGACGACTAAACAAACAGCGGGTACGGTGGGTAACTCTTTGGTTGTCCGTTACTTGTTTAATGTATACATGTAGTTATGGTCAAGCGTGAATATTATTTAACCATTATGATGTTTGTTGATACAAAACAGATCAAGAAAAGACTATAAGTGGACAAGGTTTCTGTCTAGGCAGCTGTTGATTATCTTCTATTACACTGGTACAGAAGAGCCATGAGCATGAGCATCCTTCACTCCAGAATGATAGCCTACAACATTTAGCTCACATTCTGAACTGAGCTCTTTGGACCGGCTAAAAGGAGATGTGTATATCAAGTTCAACATGGTGTCACTGTAGCCACCCAGCTCAATCGATGGGCAAGTAATGCTGCCATCCTCATGGATAGACTCTTGTTGGAGCAACCTATTCTTGAATGTATCTTCAAGGGTGTTGTACGACATCTTTCGTTAATGTTTCTTCTGACAACAGCAACTTAGGCACCACCTAAACGGGTATGATGGGAAGCATCTCAGCAACTTAGGCAAGATGTTTATGCTATTATTGAGGGCTAAAATTTTGCTACAATTTATAATAAATGTTTGTTGAAACATCTTGCATCCTAAGCTGGTGAAAGCACTACACTTGGAGGGTTCATTTCTAAATGTTAGTCCTATCCTTGTGTGTGTTGCACTATGACAAATTAACCATGATGCAAATTAATCTCGTGTGCTAGGTTGCCAATTTTTTGACCAAAGCAAAGACTAGTATTGACACTAATATAGATATATAAAACATGTCTAATAGAAGAACATTGTGCATGTGAATGTGGACTTATCTTTACATCATTATAGGTAAACAAAACTATTATGTTGCATTATCATGGTATCTTTGTTATATTTCAGAATGTCATTGTAGGACAAAATTTGGTGATGTGATGTGAACCGATCACTATGAATTCATCAATACCATTCCCAACAAAAATAATTGTAGAAGTATTCTAGAATAGAAAAAAATATTAATGAACCAATATATAGAAAATCAAGTAAGGAAAGGTTCAAAAGGGGGAAAAAGTAGTATAACTACTATATTTTTACTTGAGTTTAGGTCTCTACCTCTTTCTTCGTCGACAACTATGAAGTTATATTTCCAATATGTCACCAATATTAATTTCTTGAAGGATGGCAATGGTCCCCAATACTTGCAGTGCCAGTCACCTGATTCGAGGAAGTTGAGGATGTGGGGCTGATGAGATCTACTAGCATTTGGTGGTGCTGTTGATGGTGGCGGCTGGGGCAGATCAAAGCAACAAAGGGAGGATGGAGAGCACCAAAGTATGTAGTTGTTGTTGTTGGGGAAGAAGAGGCATGGGATTGAACAGAACCGATGGGAGAATGGTTTATGGTAGTGCTACTGGTTTCGAAAGGGAGTGGATGGCGGCGAGGGGAAGAAAATTGATATTAGGGTTTGGTGTTAGGGATAATGCGTATATAGTCACAACGGATGTTGCCAGAGGAAATTGGGCCTAACCTATGGCCTAGGCATGAGGAAAAGCCCAATATGCAAGTGTTGGCCCACTATGTACCGCTCGGGCTGTCGCCGACCTCACTGGCGACCTCCCTACCTGCTGCCTACCCCGCCAGACCATCCCGCCCTTCCTTAATCCCAATCGGAGAGTTCGTCGGTGACTCCTCGCCCCTGCCACTAGCACCGTGCGCCCATCCGATTGTCTCCCACAACTCGCTCGACGCCGCTACTGCCATCTCGCTCGCTGCCCCTCAACCCGCCACCACCGCCGGCCCGACCACCGCCGCCAGGCCCTTCCCTTTCTAAGCCCTCCATGGAGGTCTCTCCTAAAAATCCAAAACCCTAACCGCCGTCGTAGCCTCCTCTACTGCCCTGGCCCACGGTGACCTCGACATCGGCCGTCCCGCCCACCGCCTGCCCTCACCCCCATTGGATTTCGCCGGCGACTTCGCATGTGCAATGCTTGGGGTATCGATGCACGCATGCCAAATAAGAATTTGGTCCTCTGGATATCGTAACCAATTCCTCTAGAGAATCCAAACAGACTCAAGTCATTTTTATCTTTCAAAATGAATTAGGAACAATTACTCGTACTATAAACTTTTACCTGTATTCAAAAAAAACTTTTGTTCGTGAATTATTTAGATTGTGTGGCTGTGGCGTTGGGTCTTTGTGAAAAGAAAAAACATTACACAAATACGTATGAGAAATGATTATGACAAGGAAAGTATAACAAACAAATAAAAAATGGAGGTGGTCGCCGCCGGCAACTCAAGCCGCTGCTCGCCACTCGCAACCGGCAACAACCAAGTCCGATTTCTCCTTTCCCCTCTCTGTTACAAACAAGACGCAGCTGGGCCTAACTATTTGCTCCATTCTGGGCCTGCGATATGTGTGTTGGGCTTCCTAGGCCTCTTCCTTGGTAGGCTTCGGTTACCCACCCCAACGTCTGTGACAAACTTCTGAACAAATCTCCAAACAACACCCATGTTTCTCTCTATCAGAGCTTCGGCGTCAGGATCTGTACGACGGAAGGCCCAGTCGATGCTGGAGGGGTCGAAATCTGGATTGGCAGACTGAACAAGCGCCAAAAGGGAGCCTGAACAGGAAGTGAGAGTATCGATCAGGTGGCATTTGGCTTTCTCTTTGGAAGTCTTTAGTTTTCTCTGCTGCCTTCTTCTGAAGCTTAGCAGCCTTCAGCTGGCTCTTGTAGGACTCCACCTGGCTTTTGAATTTCTTCAGCTCGGCATGAAAAGTTTCAATTTCAGAATCCTGCGCAGACTTATCCCGGATCATTTTATCCTGCTTGACTTCAAAAGCTGTAAACAAGAACCAAGAAAGATTAAGAAGATTTCTTTACCAAATCATAACCCTGATGACCGACTGGAGGAGATTACCAGTAATAGCAGCTTTATGATGCTCCCCCGAGCCAAGCCAAGCAACCTCCTCCTCCTCCTCCTCCTCCTCCTCCTCATCCTCTTTCTCAAGGATTTCACCTCAAACTGACATTTCTCCAACTCTGGTCTCGCTGGCTTCCATTCGGCCTCCAGCCCTGCTTTCTCACCTCTGACAGCAGTTCCAACCTCACCCAGAGTTTTAACCTGGGATCTAAGCCCAGGGATCTCCTCAACCTGGCTCTGGAGAGCTTGACATTGGGTCTTCAGAGTGCTGTGCTCGACTTGGGTCTTCAGATCTAAGCACGGGAATCTCCTTGGCCTGGCTCTTGAGAGATTCACATTGGATCTTCGTATTGTTATGCTTGGCTGGATGCAAACACAGAAAGACAAGCATCACGAATGCAGCTGAATGCGATTGAGACCACGATTATCACAAGGAGAAGCTTACCTTCAGCAGAGGCCATTCTTTCTTTCAAGAGGGCCAGTGATTTTTTCACGTCGAGTTGCCCTTGGAGAGCCTCAACCTTAACCTTGAGAGCATCATTCTGGGCAGCTTTCTCAGTCATAGCCATCAGATCCTTCTCAACTCTCAAGAATCGGCAACATCTTTTGAAAGTTCTGAACACCAGGGGAAAAATTGTAAGCATCAGAAGATATATATGGATACAAAGAAATAAACAATCTTATCAAATTACCTCCACTATTCGGATAGTGGCAGCCTCGACAGTGTCTGTTATTTGAGCAAGCGGAGGGGAAACAGAGGTTGCTGGATCATGTTCTGGGGCTGGTTGGTTGTGTGTGATCACATTACTCTGAACATGCGACGGCAGACACACAGCCAAGGCTCCAGTCTCCGCTTCGAGACTACACGCTGAACGGAAATCTTGACACCTAATTGGAGCCAAGGCTTTTCTCCCAGTGGGACCAAGGTCCTGAAAGCAAATATGTAAAATTCAGAAGCTGTGTTTGTGATGCTTAGTGTATGGGATGCCTTGTTCTGGAAAGTTACCAAGTGGTGAATTATGCAGCTGCTCGAAAAGTGAAAAATCATTGAATCGAAATCTAAAAAAATGAAACAAGATAGGCATCGGGCTGAGTTACCTTTCATACTGGGAGATGCAAAGACCCAAACTAGGATTAGGGAGTTTATGCACCTGAGTGATTCCAGTGGCAGGAGATTGAGGGGGTGCAGGAGCAGCAAAATTCATTCCAGTGGTAAATCGTGACCTTGTGACACGTATTTCATTAAGTAGAAGAAGAGGTTAACTGGTTACAACCATCCCGGGTAATCCAGGGATTACCAAGCAGGGAGTGACTCAACACATAAAACAGACTGAGGCCTAATTTACATGAAAAGTTTGCGACGAGATGCCGACAACAGCCATAATTGCCATAATCACACACTAATGGCATCGAGCAAAAGGGAGGCTGTCGAAGCTAACAAGCATCCTCGAGCACGAGCTCGACATTTGTCAGGTCCACTTTGAACAGCACCCGCAGTGCTTGCCTCTTGGACAAGTCAAGCGGCTCCTGTGGAAAGCGTTCAACGCCTGAGGAGCCAGATGCTGCTTGGGGATTGCGGGATCCCACTTCGACAAGAGCACCTTCTGCGCCTGGAGGGTGGCGTTCGCAGCACGCAAGTGGGATTTGGCCGCGAGACGGCCGCTGCGATGACGGGAAGCCGATGGTGGTGAGCGGCAAGACCGACGTCGAGGCGGGGCCTTGAGGACCGGGATTTGCAACGGTGTCGTGACGCGCCTTGCGAACTCTCGGGTGAGGGCTGAAGGGGAACCTGGTAGCGCGACCTCCGATGACGCCCTTACATCCTGGGCGTCCGTTCTTGGGCCTGCTGAGTCCGAGTCCGTGCCCGGTGCCACGCCTTGTGACACCACAAGCACGACAGTCTTAGAGGACCCGTCCATCTCATCAAGACCCAAACACGAGCTAGACCGCCCACCAGGTGAATTGCTCGACCTTTGAACCGAAGGAGATGGCCAGCGTCGTGGCCTGCATAGGGCACCGCCATCGAACAGGCCTTGATCACTTCCAAGAAGTGATCCCAACAGCCCAAGTGAAGGCCCGGGCGGGGAGCACGGCTTGCAAGAGATGTCGTCAAACCAGTCAGCACCAACCGAGGCCCCCACTCCCGGAGACTTCACGAGGACGACCAGCCCCTCTGAGCGCATGGGATCCCATCGCTCATGGGCAGGCTCAAACCGAGGCTCGGAAGCGATGGGGTCGAAGAAGTCCCCGATGTAGGAATCCCGGGCCAGGGAGGAGCGCATGCCACCCTCGTTCGCTGCAGGGATCCCAGCAGTGGGATGGGACATCGACATCTTGGTGGCAGCCTTGACGCTGCTGGAGTGACGCGAGCCACTCCACGACCTGGTAATTAGCTGCTGTGATATGGAGTCCAATTGAGCATGATTTGATGGCCTTTCACTTGACACCTTCCCTAAAGAACTGCTGTGAGAACTTTCATTATGCCTTTGATTGCATTCATCACAAAACCAGTCTTCTAAAGATGCATCAAGGACAACTTCTTTCAAACAGTACCTGCACCAATGACGAAGCCATGAAAAAGATGGCCCATAATCTTTTTGATCCAGAAAAGAAAGCTAAACATGTAGTGCTAACATAACTAAAATGCAGAAGTAGTGCATGTGATGTGATCTATAAAAAAAAAACTTTCAAAAGAGAACAAATCTATTATTGACTATGGCCATTAACAAGCCAAACATAAATAATGTATTCAACAAAACATGTTTAAAGGTACAGATAAGGCCTTCACTAGATTGTGGCAATACAATACTTCAAAAAACAGATGTACCAGGTAATTATGTGTTCATATTGCTGCAACATTAACAATTAGGTATCCTTAGGATGAAAAGTCACATACTGGTGTGTATGAGCTCCCTTGCAGTCACTGCAACATAACAGGAGACGTTCAAAACCAATAGCTCCACACACTTCACACACAGCATTCTGCAGAAATGCCAAGGTGTTTGTTATAAATTATCAACTATAGAAAGTAAAGAACAATAAAACTTTAAAATAGTCTGATGCATTCTCATGTTTTTCTGATACAATACAATATCCAAGTTCACTAGTTATGATATACTAGGCCATTGATGATTAAAGATCAGCTGCAACCCATAACATTTGGTTCGGTTTTTTGTATGCAACATAAATTAAGAAACACTCTAGATAGATATCCTGCATAGTTCTCAAGTGCCAAAAGTTAATGTCCAGGCAAGCCATAGCTTTGTCCTTAGTATAGTAACAATTAGTCTGATGCTAGCATGAGCATAGCAGTGAGGCCATCATCTAGATATATTGAGTGAGCTAGAGTCTAGTTAGACTTGTATAATCGCAATCTTAAGGAAGGTTAACACAGTAAATTTAGAAACCGAGCCAGAGGTAAAGACCGGTAGTCAGCCAACAAACTCTAGCTGATCTTAAGTATTTATATCAAACCTAAATAAGAAATAGTTTAGCGATAAATATGTTACGGCTGGAAACCATCAAAATTAACTGGACCAGAATGTTGGGAGATAGATAAACATCACAATGAAACATTTGTCCGAAATACTGAATATAACCTAGTTTATAAAAACCATACCAAAATATAGTAATGACTAATTTGGAAATAAAAGATGAAACTACAGCAGTAAGAGTTTAAGATGGCACCGAAACATACTCACCATATCAGGTAGACATTACGTTAGATGCAATTTTCTTGTGAGGTACAGCATTTGCAGGTTGACTAAACCAACAAATAGCAAGCATCATATATCATATATCATATATCCAATACCCAATTTAGTATCAGAGTCAAATACTTCCTCCAATCACAAACATAAATCCATCCAAAAAAAAACTTTGCTAGCTATATCTAAAAAATATATATTATCTTCTTAAATGAGAAGAGTTACATATATGAGAGTATTTTCACAATGAATAAAATTAAACCATACTGCATTTGCACGCCTCACTACAGAGTTACCGAGCAAAAGAAAGTTGCTCTGTTTGTTGCCAAAGGTGGCGCCTGATGCTCTATTAACCCAATGGTCCATCTTTAGACTAATGACATGCGGAGGCATGTAGTTGACCCCACTAATCATGGTTCTGATAGAGTACTACAACAACAACAACATAGTCTTCCAGTCCCAAGCAAGTTGGGGTAGGCTAGAGTTAAAACCCACCAAGAGCCCCAAGTCACGGTTCAGGCACTTTAATAGCTACTTTCCAAGCTACTTTCCAAGTACTCCTATTCAAACATAGATCTCTAGATATATCTCAAGCTTTCAAATCTCTTTTTATTGCCTCCTCCCATATCAATTTCGGTCATCCTCTACCTCTCCTCATATTATTAGCTTGGCTTAGGACTCCACAATGCACTGGTGCCTCTGGAGGTCTCCTTTGGACATGGCCAAACCACCTGAACCGATGTTGGACAAGCTTTTCTTCAATTGGTGCTACCTCTAGGCGATCACGTATATCATCGTTTCGAACTCGGTCCATTCTTGTATGACCGCAAATCCATCGCAACATACGCGTTTCTGCAACATTCAGTTGTTGAACATGTCAAATCTTTGTAGGCCAACATTATGCTCCATACAATATAGCCGGTCTAATCGTCGTTCTATAGAACTTGCCTTTTATCTTTTGTGTTACCCTCTTGTCACAGAGAATGCCAGAAGCTTGTCGTCACTTGATCCACCCTGCTTTAATTCTATGGCTAACGTCCGCATCAATATCTCCATCCCTCTGTAGCATCGATCCCAGATACCGAAATGTATCCTTCTTATGCACTACTTGACCTTCCAAACTCACATCTCCCTCCTCCTGTACAACTCCGCCAAAGTCACATCTCATGTATTCGGTTTTAGTTCTGCTAAATCTAAAACCTTTAGACTCAAGGGTCTACCGCCATAACTCTAGTTTCCTATTTACTCCCACCTGATTTTCGTCCACTAACACTACATCATCAGCTAACAACATACACCAAGGGATATCCCCTTTATCAAAGTTCAGTGGGTAATCAACACCTAAGCAGCCATGCACAAACAGTGGAGCTTCGCTGACAAGAAATGCCCACGCAGCATTCAATCCAGCAGCCATTGAGGAAGTATATTATTATACTACTGATTTCGATTTGGATCCTATATGCACATAAAACGGCGGTACATAAACCAGACAGTGGAGGGGGGTTGAACTTTAAAGTGGCCACAACACAAATCTCCATCCCCGATTGAATGCCAGAGTACAAAAACTAAAGGAATAATAGGACAAGACAGCAATGCTCCTCCCAACACTGACGGACCCCATCCACGGTTGCACAGCGGGGATCATCCAGATCAAGGCCGGGGGGTACCATGCCCAAATGTCCCCATGTCCACGCACACCCAGTCTGCAAGAACTCTTCTCTCCGGCTCCAGGGACGACATCGGCAGCCAAATCCGCCCGGTAACAAAGACAGGAGAAGAAACCGCGAGGGGGATTGGAAACGTACCATCGTAGCAGATTTTGAAGGCGCCAGCTCCACTCCTCCCAGAGCGCAATACTTCTTCTAAGTTCCAACGGCCAAATATCCTCTCGGACCCTGCTCGGCCAGACGGCCACTCTTTCTCTCTCTTCACTCGAAAGCCAGGGGGCACCGGAGAGAAGAGAGGGGAGGCAGACGATGGGGGAGAGGATTAGAGGAAGGTGAGCATTAAGAGCGTCCGCAGTGGGCGGACCGTAGCCGGTTCTATACAATAAATACAACGATAGTACCGGCTTCTATACACTGTGAGCTCGAGTCGATGGCTCTATCGAACCCGGCTCCTTGGAATAAAGAAATCATGCACTCTCTGTCATTCTCTCTTGTCTCTCTTACCATTGCTGCTCCTGTAGATCCAGGATGAGTACGATACACTGTGGCTTATTTACTAGATGGAGTCACATCATATTTTAGGAATAGGGCCGGTTCGATACACTGCGAGTGCTCTAATAATGCCACGGTTGGTTTCTTCCTGTTCACTAGCTCCATAAATTATAAATTAAAATTGTATTTTTCTTTCACACCTGGCCATAAATAATCCACCATCCTTCACGCACCGCCGAACAGTCTGTTGGTTCTCAGAAGTCACGATGGGCTCAGGTGGCGCAGTCATTTTTTAGTCCTGTTCAGCCCATGTAGCTCTCCTGCTGCTTCGGCGAAAGGCCGCGTGTCCTGCGGTGGTGCAGGCGTGCATCCTTGCTGGATTTGACTGCCCCGTCGGTGGTCAATAGCCGTGCATCCTTGTCTACAACACTAGAAGAACGCCCCGGGTTGCTACCGGAATGGCAAGTAAAATTATATTCTTTATATTTACTAATATAAATAAATAAATATTATAATACTACATGTTAGTAGATGATTTTTAGCATCTTAATATTGACAACTAAATATATAAATGATGTAGTTTACTAATGTAAATAGTTTAAATGAAGATATAATGATATGTGTTAGTTGGATATGTTAGCGGATGTTGATGTAGATATTTTGCATGGCGAGATAGTTACATATGCTAGTGGGTTGTTCTAGTAAATGCTGATGTGGACACTTTGTATGACAAGATAAATTACTAGTGGGGTTTAAAAATATAAGATATATAGATATAGATATCAAATGCACAGGTTAATTAGTTAAAAACTAAAATTTTTACTATGGTTGTAGTAAAATAGATGGCTGATAAGTAGCGATTTGATGGCTAGAAAGACACCAATTAAAGACATCAGGAGACACCAGGTGCCTACTAAATGGTGGGACATAGACACCATGCGCCTACTAAATTGGTGGGATGATCACCTTGAAAAAAAAGGTGTGATGATTCTATTTTTGATTTTTTTATGTAATTAAAAGGGTATAATGGTAAATCTATAATAGAAAAAATAATATTTTAAGTAGTATAGGGATGATTGAAATAGTGGTCTTTTTTTGATAATTCTATTTTTAAAAAAAATTACATAATTAATGGTAGAATGGTAAAAAAAACGAACGAGAGACTCTACTCTACGCATGTCATGCGTCGCCCCGTCTCGCTCTGCCCGGCTTTGTATGTAGGCCCCCCAACATGATGTTCACCCGACGTTGGTCCCAGCTCGATCGTCTCCGCATGAAGGGTGAGCGACCAAGGCATCCCTCCTCGTGATTTCCTCCTTCCCGTTTTTCTTCATGCATGATTTTCTTTGAGTCAAAGAAAGGAAAGAAATGAAAGGAAATTAAATGCGCAATCATTGTGCTTGAAGGGAGCCAGGGACGACATGCACCACGCGTGCATGGGGCAAATTTGACTTACTTTGTTCTGTTGACCTACCCAGGGGAATCGTCCACCCAGCCTATCCCCTCGCTCCCCCACTCTCAGGCCCTCCGGACACTTCGGGCCTTTTTGTTTGCCTGGATGGTATTGTCTGGTTCGTATAGCTTAGACAGGGCAGGTAGAGGTTGGTCCATGAGGTGCAGTTTGCTGTGTTTGGTTCTATTTCCCTGCGGAGCCAGGCTACATAGGATTTTTTTGTTTATTTGCCTGCACAGCAGTATATGGTCACCTTAGAGTACTATGGGGTAGGGTTACCCCAACAGTGGCATTTCATCGAGCACTTGGGGGTCGATCTCGCCATGACAGCAAACTACACAGTAAGTGGCCTCCGCCCCGACGAGCTGTTCGAGCTCGAGAAGGGGCGCGTTGTTAGATGAATAAACTTTTTTGTCAACCCGTCCACCTCGCACTATGAATTTTTGATCCGTATTCAAAAAACATTTGTTCGTGAACTCTAGACCATGTGGGCTTTGGCGTTGGGTCATTGTGAAAAGGAACACGAGCGTTGCTCCTCCCCTCCCTTTGCCGCGGCGTTGCTCCTCTCCCTCCAGCAGATCCTCCTCTCCCTGCAATGCCTCCCCTACCTCTAGCGGCTCCCTCCAACGAGCGTCACGGCTCCTCTCTTCTCCCCACGTGGCAGCGAGCACTAGCGGCGTGGCTAGAGACACCCTTAGTGAGAATCTATGGACAGAACCGTCCGAAATAACATACCTTCGGAGGCGCTTGTCTTCCACTAGACACTAAACACCCCGAAAGCAAGCTATATCAGACGGTTTCGTCGAGCACACCCCAAGGGAGAACTCTAACAATCCATGTTTTTCCTCCAGGATCTAATAATGAGAACGAAGTTTACAACACTTAGTTAATTTCATACAACAAGAGTTCTTATAAATACATTATTACAATATCAAGTTCAGAGTGTGGAATTTAATAGCGAAATTAAATTAAACATCTAACGATAAGATACAATGATCCATCTGTGCCCACTAGAAAAATCCTCCACACAACATCCATTCCTCAAGCTGCACCTGCAACAGGGGTAAATAAACCCTGAGTACACAATGTACTCGCAAGACTTACCCGACTAGTGGGAATACTTTCCCGACTTCAAAGGATATGATAGGCTTTATGGTTTGCTGGGTTTCCTTTTTGCCAAAAAGCATTACTAGGAGTGAATCCTAATGTATATTTCTTATTAGCGGTCCTGATTAGTCCATTAGCTAACCATTCTATGTAAGCACCTATTCTACTTTCAAATAAGAGTTGAGCAATCAGATCCATTCTTTCCTTTCATCTTCTAGTTCTTACTATGGTGCTAGATCGTAGACAAGTCATACCATATTACATGGATGATTCGACAA